CTCGCCGGAGCGCGCACGCCCCGAGCTCCCGGGCCGCCCGCGCTCGCCGGAGCGCGCCCGCCCTGCCCCGTCGCCCCGCCCCAAGCTACCCACCTACCGCAACGCCGCCAGGGTTCGCCGCCCCGAGCTCCCCCAGCGCGCGCGCCGCCTCTGGCCGTGTTTGACGCGCCCGCGCTCGTGCCGTGCTTGGCGCGCTAGCCTTCCTGGCCGTGCCCTACGCCAGGCTGCTCGCGCGGGAGGCCACGGACCTGGTTCGGCAGTACCCGGAGGAGCCGTGGTCCGGCGTGGAGTTGCTGTTGCCCGCGCGTCCAAGCGTCGGGTCGTGAGCTCGCCGTCGAGCTGCTGCACAGACTGCGTGGAGTAGCTTGCTAGCTAGCTAGCACCCGGATGCTGCTGCTGCGCATGCAAGCATTAGCTAGCTAGCTAGATGCATGGCGTCGTGGCGAACGCGGCGGCGGAACGGCGGGCGGAACACTGCGGCGGGCGTGGGAGCGACGAGGTCGCCAGGAACTAGATGCATGGGTCGCTGATAGGTGGGCCACGGGCGGACACGAGCGGACGAGAGAGGCCGAGGAGAGCGTCCGTCAATGTCCATTCAGACACATTTGTGACCCTACTTTGATCTAGATTTGGGGTTGGACCGGACAAAAACGGACATCAGCGAACAGTTTTGTCCGTTTAAGTATTCCCGATGGGCCCTTTTTTATTCCAAACGGACAACCCCGAAATGATTTGGGGTCGCGCGGTGGAGTTAGCCTCACGTGCGTTTTTTATTTTTCTTGAGATTAGATGGTCTCGAGCTCGAGAAGTGAACGTCACCGCCAGCCTTAGCATCTTCGACGAGGGCTCACTAGGACAAGGCCAGCCAGAGGTGGAGACAACGTAGCTCGCTACAACGTTGTAACCAAAGGATAGGCGTGGACGCGTGGTAAAGGGGAACGAGGCGTCGGGAGGAGCAGGGATGAAGCGCGATGCTTGTCCGCCGTCCTCTGTACTTAAAATAGATAAGTTAGTTATAAAAAATTATCGACCTATGAGTTTTTTGAACTAATTTCTATTTTTGCGGGCTTATGCGGGACGCCAAATCGACTGATGCCCAATAATTTTTCGGGTAACGTGGGCTCTTTTCTTCACTCCTATATTTTTTAAAAAAATACACGTGTATTGTATCACCCCTATGTTTTAAAAAATATACCTGTATATTTTTTTGCTTGTGTCTTGATTTTTGGTGAAGCAGATTGCTGCGTGAAAAATCACAAAACTGGCCCTTTGGCCAAAGTTCAGTACAAAATGGCCTTATTTTAAAAATATTTCATAAAATGGCCCTACACGCATGACGCCCGCACCCTAAGCGCCATGCTAGATAACATAACGCATCGGTCAACGGCGCCATACTGGTCAGTGGTGACTTGCCACGTTGGCAGGGCATGGCACCATGGCGCCCCAGGCCAGGGCGCCGTGCTGATGATCATGACGCTCCTGCTCAGGGCGCCATGCCCCTTGCGTCCACAAAACAGAGTCTCCCCTGTTTTTCCCTCCACAAACCCTCACTTTTCCCCTTCTCCACCCCGACCGCCCCACTCAAGCCCCTACCTAATGCCCACAAAATTTCATGGATCAGAGCTCCAAACCGGTGATTTATCCTTCCCTTCGACCCCTCAAGGTATTCTCCATCATTCCTCCCCTTTTTGTTGGTTGAAATCTCCACATTGTGGGGATTTGGGGAAACCCTAGGTCATCCAATTTTGCTATTTTTGTTGATGCATTTTGGTGTTTATGATTCTAGATGGCGAGGATCGTCAATGTGCATCATGTGGACTTTGTCTCCTTTGAGAAGGGAGACGCGGAGTATGGTGACTCAAAGAAGAAGCCGATAGTGATGGTGTTTCCCACAAGTCCTAGCCTTGAGGAGGTTTTGGTTGAGCTTCGAAGAAGGTTGAATTGGATGGAAGAAAGCGATGGAGTAGACTTAATCGAAAGATATAATGTTGGGTATGGGCAACATATCCGTTGGAAGATAATGACTCTTGACTCCGAGTTTCATTGGGAAGCATATAAAGAGATTGTGTTGGCCTCACAAGATAAATCATTTGAGTTATTTGCCACAAAGGTTGTTCGTGCTCGGTTGCACATTGATTTGAATCGGTGTGCATCTTCATATGATGTTAGAAGCCCGGTTCAAGATTCAACACATGTCACTCCGGATGTGCATGACACAACAATGAGCCAACCTCCAATGACCCAATGTTTGAGCCCCGGCGGGAGTGACCAAGTTGATAATGAAGACTTGCACATGGATGGTGGTGAGTTTGAGGGTGATGAATCGAAGGC